TTCCACATTCTCAACTTAACTTTAGCATTATCCAAGATTTTTTCTCATCTTTATTGCGGTATAATTGACAAATAAACATATGTTTAAGGCATACACAGTGATGTTTTGATATACGTATACATTATGGAATAATCTCTACAATCAGGCTAATTAACATACCCATCACATCACATGTGTGTGTGGTGAGAACAGTTAAGATCTCCCCTCTTAGCAAATTTTAAATATTCAATACAGTATCATTAATTACAGTCATTAGGTTATACATTAGATCTGCAGGACTTACTCATCTGCATAAGTGGAACTTTGTACCTCTGACGATCATCTTCCCATGACCCTCTCCCCTAAGTCCCTGGCAACCAACAGCCTGCTGTCTGCCTCTGTGAGTTCAACTATTTTAGATTCTGCATATAAGTGAGATCATGCAGTGTTTGTCTTTCTATATCTGGCTTACTTCACTTGGCATAATGTTCTCCGGTTCATCCATGTTTCAGTAATGTATTATCCAAGATTTTTATTGTTAGCGATCTCAAAATTGTAAAATGATATCTCACTTTGATCCAGACTTTCATTTTTCTTATTACTAATGCAGCTGAGTATATGGCTGCACTGATGCTATAGATCAATTTGAGAAGAATTGCTATCTTTAAGGTTTTAAAGTTTTCCTGTACACAATGACACACTTTTTATTTGTTTAGGTCTTTTTAATCCTGTTAACTAAAGTTTTCTCTGTAGGAGTCTTGAATAACCTTTATTAGATTTATTCTATATAATATATAATATATTATATTATATATTACATTATATATGTTATATTATATTATATTATATTATATTATATTATATTATATTATATTATTCAACATATATGTGTGTATATATACACCTATATATTAATGGTGGTGGTAATTTTTATTTTTTTAAATATGTTTTCTGTTTGTTACTGGTACATAGAAATCCAATTCATTTAAAAAATATTGACCTAGCCGGCTAAGTGGCTCAGTTGGTTAAGAGCTCGCTCAAGAGTGTGAGCTCTGAGTAACAGGGTCGCTGGTTCGATTTCTGGCCAGAGCTGAGCTGCCACTGAGCTGCCAACAGGTGGCAGGATGGCTCAGCTAAAAAAAAAAATTGGCCTAGTATTCAGCCATATTATTATTATTTTTAACAAGTAGTCTTTGAGTCGTAGAGGCTTTCTAGATAGATAAACATATCATCCAAGAATATAGTTTTTTCTTTCTTCCCAATTCTTATTCTTTGCATTCTTTTAAAAAATCTGTACTAATTAGACCTCCAGACAATATTGAATAGAAATAGTGGTGAGAACATCCTGTTTTGTCCTTAATTTAGAGGGATTGGCTCTATGTGGCTCCCCATAATAATGATGTTTGCTGGGTTTTGTGGTAGATACTTTTTATTAGGTAAAGGAAGTCCTTATCCATTACTACTTTATTAGATATTTTCATCATGAATGGGTGATGGATTTTGTCAAATACTTTTCCGTGTCTGTTGAGATAATTGTATGTTTTTTCTATTTTAATTCATTAAAGTGATACACTTATGTCTCCTTTTTATTCCTAATATTATATTTTTGTCTTCGCACTTTTTTCTTACCTATTCTGTGAGAAGTTTGTCATATTATTAGTTTTTTTTAAAGACAAAATTTAAGATGTGTTGATTCTTTTTATTGTATCTTTGCTTTCTGGTCATTCCTTTCTGCTTTCACATTAATTATCTCCCTTCTTCTGTTTTTTTGTTTTTTAGATGTGTTTTTTTCCAAACTTCTCAGATTGGTTCTTAGCTCATTCCCTTTCCAGTCCTTCTTTTTTAGGCATTTACATGTATGCATTTCTTTCTAATTATTACTTTACTTACATTCCACAAAATCTGATATGAAACATTTTCTTTATCATTCAGGTCTAGCTATTTTCAATTTTCACTGATTTTTTTCTTTGATCTTTGAATTACTTAGAGGCATGTTTTTTAAATTTCAAAACATATGGAAACTTAATGTATTTTTAATATTGTTCACGGATTCAGTTGCATTGTGGTAAGAAATGTCTATATGTCACCCATTTTTTGAAAATTTTGAGCTACTTCATGACTCAGGTGTTGTAATTTTTTGGTAAATACTGCATTTAAGCTTGAAAAGAATGGTTATTTTCTAATTTGTGGGTGCAGAGCTCTATTTAAGTCCAAAAAAAAATCAATGTGTGTTTCAAATAGTCCCCATCTTTAATTTTTTAAAAATCTTCTGCAACGATGGTGATTTGACAGTCTCTCCCAACTCACACTACAGGACATCAGACATGAATCATGTGCTCTGTGGTTGGTGCTGAGGTTGCGGGGGATGGAGGGGAACAGATGCTTCCTTCCTGTGACCATGACCGTGCTGGAGGATGGACAGCACCATTCAAATATCAGAGCTCCTGGCTCATTCTCTTGTGATTGGCAGATCAGGTTACCTCCCAAGCACAGGTAAGGTGAGGTCCACAACTCCCCACTAGCAGGCTGGAGGGTGGGTGTGAGCTATGTAAGTGAGTTGATTCTTTTATTCAACAAACACTATTGAGATGGAGTAGTGGATCTGGAGGTGGACTCGTTGCTCTGCCTGCTGCCCTCCCTGGCTCCCAGTCTAATGGAAGTCATCCCAGCTCTGTGACAGAAGCAACCTCAGGCAAGAACTGGATGTTCATTACAGGAGCATAGGGTGAGACTCCCACTCTGGATGAAGGGCATCATACCACTGAGATGACAAATGAGCAATCACACCAGGAGCATGGCTCGAAGTCAGGTCATCTTTCAGATTCTAGCTAATGGGACATTTTGTATTTCTGCCTTTTCCATTCAAGTAGGTAACAGACGCTGCGTTTTCTGGTCTCAGGAGGTTGTGGTAGGGTGAAAAGCAGAAGCTGTTGCAGAAACTTCCCATTTTGGGTTTATGTATGAAAGGTCAAACCCTGGAAGAGGTCTTGAGAGGTATTCTAGAGCAGAAGTTACCCGCTGGTGTTTGGTTTGATCTGCCCCATGTAATATCGTTTATTTTACTTTAAAATATATCTTTATTCCTCAAACTCAAAGCTTTATTTCTTCAAGTTCTAACACATTTTTCATTGACAAATATTTCACCTGCATTCCGTATGGAGGTCAGTGATCATTACGCCAAAGAGGAAACCTCACACATTTAGGAAAAAAACATTTTAAAATTAGTTGCCAACACTTGAAAATTAGTGATGTCACAGAAGCAGGGGACCTCTTGGTGCACCTGGAAGCCCCGGGCTGCTTGCAGCTCCCCTGTGCACTTCCTGCCATGCCCAGCCACTGCCTGATGAGTAACGCATCTGCTCTGTCATTTTCTTACCCTTCCCTTAGGGGAAAGCGAAATATTTCTCTCACAATCATCTCCACTAAGTGGGATAAAATGTTAAAAGTCCACATGTTTCATGAGAAGCAAGAGAGACTATGTTTCCTGGTGCAGGTGAAGACTGATCTAAAATGTCTAAATGAAATGAAGTGTGTGTGTGTAGGGGGAAGGATGGACCATTAAGGCACCAAAATGAAGCAAATTGCTTTTCTTATGAACAGCCTGCTCCACTCGCGTCCATCGTTCTTCATGTGAGACTCAGAAGGAGAAAACGTTGCTGAGCTGAAGGGACCAGTGGGTGTTAGTGACCCCCAGGGCAGCCTGACCGCTGCTGGCTGGATGGCTGGACCTCGGCAGCGGTGGTGCCCTTGCATTGAGGGCACAGCACAGTGTGTGGGGCACGGGCTGCCAGCCCACAGCCTGGGTTCAAAGCCCAGCCCTCACATTCACCTCTGAGCGGACTTAGGGGCACCACACACCTCCCTAGTTTAGTGTCCTCCTCTGTGAAAGGAAGGCCAGTGCTAACACCTAACTCACAGGGTTGTGATGGAGGTCAAATAATTGTCACATTTAGAATATTTCTTAGAGAGAGTGCTGGCAATAGTGGGAAGTGCTCCGTGAGCTGGCTGTGTTAGGAATTTGGCGGAGGGAACCCAAGAATGAAAAGTTTAGTATCTGCCAGCTCAGTTGAATGAGGCTCAATGATTGTCATTAAGTTGATTTACATTTTACACTTGAGTTGGTGGCTTGACAGTCAAGCTGGTATCAAGAAGTACAGACACACGTGGCCCCCATCTGTGGGTTGGGCCTGTGTTGACAATCAAGGGTCCTCTAGGGCAGAGCTGGGGGCTGTGAATTTGGGCTGGAAAAAGTCACATCTCTGTCTTTTAACCTCTGTAGAAAGTTAGCATTTCCTTCTGACATGAGTGCAGCCTACAAACCACCATGATATTACCACCTGGGTGACTTTATTACCAGTATGTACTGAGGATAGTTTCATCCACATTCCAGCTGTTGCTGATCTCTCTAAATCTCATTACATTCATCCTGATGTCTAGATTGTGGTAGTTATTTCACCTGCCACTAGATCTTCCTATTTACTGTGTGGATAAAGAAGCACATATACTTCTATATAATGTCTGTTTTCTACATATTTTGATAACTATATTTCAATTTTAACTAGTTTCTTTTATAATTCCTGCATACTTTGTTTTGGGCATTTAAAAATGTTATTCTGACAAAAGAGTCACAGGTCTTCCCTGACTCGAATGGGTTCATGGCACAAAAACAGTCACTGGGCTATACTGTGGACCGGGAAGGGGGTCTTTCCATCCCTGACCCAAGGTCATGGGGGCTGCTGCAGGAGCTAGACACCCCACATCGTCCTCTGGGACTCACTGGCCTGGGGCTTTGGGCTGTAATCTGCATCCAGTCGTGCTTGTGTTCCCTGCTGTGTGGGAGGATTTCAGGAGACAATGCAGGCTGAGAACTAGTACCCAGCATGTCACAGTGAGCACTCATTGTGGGCCACAACCTTCACTGCCCGTCAGAAGCCTGGATGACAGGGGCTTCCGTCAGCCCTGCCCTCACACAGGGCTGAGAGGAACTGAGCAGTGTGGGGCTGTAGCAGTGGCTTCCTGCCCTTCAGTCATGTGGGGCTCGGCTCTTGTCACCTCGAACCTTGGGTCACACAGCCTGCCAGTGCCTGCCCTGCGAGGAGCTAAGAGCAGAGAGCCAGCATGGGCTCAGTGACCCGGGTGCTGAGAGCCCTCTTCCTTCTACTGGGTAAGTGAGGAGTGTGGCAACTTTGTGCACGTTACTCTTCTCTGGCAGGGGTGCCACCCTGAGATCGAAACTCGGGAAGATTCGCCCATCGGGCCTCAGTCCTGAAAGCATGGTTGTGTCCCTTTGGAGAGATTGCTTTTCTCACTTTGACTGGATAGTGTGCAATGTTTTTGTCTGTTTCATTCCAGCTGCAATTTACAAATGCTTCTAAGCCAGGGGAGAACAGGAAAGGGTCATGTGGCAGAAAGCTTTGGGCTTGGGGCCTGAGCTGGGATCTGGCTTTAAGCCATGACTCCACTACTGGTAACCTGCAGCAAACTTCTTAGGCTCTCTGAGTTATCAGTTTCTAAATGAATAGAATGGATGATAATAATGTTTACTTTCTAGGATTGTGTGAAAATTAAGTGAAATTTAATTAAGTCATATCAAAATAATTACATAAAACGAGAAAATGTACGTATGTAGATGCTTCTCTGTAGGTAATGGTGAACCAGTCTTATTATGGAGGGAAGTAGGCTTCTAGTTGCCCAGAGGTTTCTTTGTTTTTTAGTCATCTGTAATCCTGTGCATCAAAAGAAGGAAGAAGGGAGAGAAAGACAGAGACAGAAAAGTAGGGCCAGATATAGAGGACGTAATATAAGGCCAGAGAAGTGGAGAGAAAGAAACCAAGAGAGATAGAGATGGAGGCACAGAGTGATGGTTAGAAATACCCATAGATAGGGTCAGAAAGGAAAGAGCTATATGACTTTGCAAGACCGCCTTTGACATCAACTGTCATTTCTTAAAGCGGCAATGGACATCCCTCGTATACACAGAGGTTCTCCTTCCCAAAGCTTTCACTGGGTCAAGACTCAAAGGCAAGCAGTCTGTCTCTAAATTTAATCTTTAGTCTTTGGAGCAATAGCCTGTACCCTGGACATGGCAGCTATTCCCATGGGCAGGACTCTCTGTCTGAAGCCTACAACAGGACAAAAGCCTTGGCCTCTGGGAGTGAACATATCAGACAGATGGGTAGCCACAGCATCTATCACTTGACATGTGGATCCCTGACAGTGGCGGTAAGGGATGGCGGGAACCAGCCAGCAAGAACTAACGGCCTGCAGGGCGGCTGAGGCAGTGTGCCCGGGAAAGTGGCAGAAGGTCTAACCCTTGTTTCTGCTTTCGACCTATCTAGATAGTCTGTCCTGGGGAAAAATAGAAAGTAAAATTTAAGAAACCCAGTGAAAAAAATGTGCAGATTATATAATACAACCCAATACAAACCGGCAGTTCATTGAAGAATTACAAACAGATTCACAAACAATGAAAGAAAGAATAACACCTAGCATTTTTTAATGCTTCCATAGTCTGCTCAAAACTTTACGTGAGCTCATTCAGTCCCCGCGACAATTCTGTGGAGTAGGTCCCACTCCTACCTGATTATACTGGTGAGGTTTTAATTCCTTGGCCAAGGTATCTCAGCTGGTTAGTGCTTTCAGAAGCTATTCTTCGAGACAGTTGTGGTGAGGAGTGAGCCTCTGGTCTAAAACCCGGAGTGTTTGTCCTTGCTCCACTATCACCCGCTCGGAGAACAGGTTATTCATCCTCTTTGTGTGCAGTGTTCTCCTCTGTCAGTTGGGCACAGTGAGAATACCCACCTCACAGGGCTGGGTACAGAGTTCAGTCTGTTCCCATGTTTAAAGCGTGCAGCCAGTGTCTGCCATGAGGTGAGCCCTCACTCCTGGATATTGGGGAACTAATTGATTCGATCCTCCTAGAATGCAATTTGGTAATATGTGTCAAAATGTAAGCTGCCCACAACCTTCTATACAGAAATGCCAACTTCACAATTCATCCTAATGAAATAATAAGGTAAATTATTTTCCTTATATTTAATAGAATGCTGGTCAGCACTGCTGACCACAGTGAAAACCAGAAACAGGTGATTGTCAGTAGGAATTTGGCTAAATCGATTGTGCTGTAAGGTTTCAAATAATATCCAATATGTATAAATGAAAGGCACAGCTTTCTCAGAACCTGACATGGACAGAGGAATAGTGACAAAGTGATAGTTACAGAGTTATAATTATGTAGTTATATTCTGATTGTGTTTGCTTACCTATCCAAAAACTGACTGGAAGGAAACATAGCAAATGATTAACAGTATCTTTTATTCACTTTAGGAAACAGGATTATGGGGCATTTTTCAGTTTCTCTGCATTGAAATTTTTCTAATGATCATATATATTCTTAATCCCAATAAATAAATTTCTATGAATAAAACAATAACATGACAGCCTATTGAAAGCTGGAAGAAAAAGGAGTTTTCCTTTATGGACTGGTGAAAGAGACCTAGAGGATTAGCTAGTACAACCTACTAATAACGAATGACCTGTGAGGGCAGGTAACCAGGTCAGAACTGTGGGTAAGAAGGCTTTCAGGGGCACGGTAGGCAAAGGAGCATCTCTGTCTGGTCACCCCTATGACGTCTGGCTCTTTCTCTCTCATGGGACCCTGGTAAGAGAAGCTAGGCCCATTATTTCCCATACACAGAGTAATTGGAGAGTTTTTGAAAAACCAGTTTTTGAGTATTCTAAAAATATTTTTTAAAACTGAGATCAGTGTAACAAACATTCATGGACCCAACACACTGAATTAACACATCTAAAATTGGCTTGTTTTAGGTATATGTATTTAAAAGTAGCTAGATGATAAATCAACATATCCATCAAAGAAACAGAACATCGGAGACTGAGACTTCAGCTCCCCTGCTCTGTCTTGTTTTCCTCCCCTTTCCCCAGAGGAAACAGCACCCCTGCTTTGACTGTGCTTCCTTTCTGTGTTGCTTACTTGATGTTAAAGACTTGACCTTAACGCCGCCATAGCAAGACACTGAAAGTAGTTAGCTACACATTCTGATACTATGAATTAGACGTAGTCATTGCAACAGCCTATAAATAAGATTCTGTTGAAACACTATCAACTTAGTTACCCATTCTAGTACTGATGGAATTTAGGTTGTTTGTAGCTTTTTTGCATAACTGTCAATGCTGCCACAATGAACCTTCTTGGTTCTATCTCCTGGAACTCATGTGCAGTTATTTTTCTAGGAGACACATCTGGAAGAGGAGTTTCTGTGTCATGGGTACGCACGGTCTTCTTTTATTGGATACTCCCAAATTGCTCTCCACCAGTGAGGTCTGGACATATCTGTCCCCCTACAGATTCAGTGATACTTGAATCTTGTCAGACCTCTCATTTTTTGGCTATTGGAGGATTGTAAAATATTATTACCAAGTTTAAAGGTTATGTGTTCCTGATTACTAGTGAGAATAACCATTTTTCCTACACTTATCAGATAGCTGTTTTCTTTTTCTATACATTTTGAATTAGTTTTATTTGGTTATTGGTCTTTTGTGTATTTTTCCTGAATATTACTTATTTGTCTATTGCAAATGTCTTTTTTCAATATGTTGTTTATCTTTTATCTTTGTGGCATCCTTTGTTTTGCAGAAGTCTCTAAATGTGATACAATCACATTTATCAGAGAAAGAGATCTTTTCTCTGAGCCGTGTGAAAGTAAGTTGTATACCTCATGGTTTTTTAAAAACCTCTAAATATATTAGTGTGCATTTCTTTAGAAATAATCTCTTGCATAACCACAGTGTAGTTATCAACTTCAAGAAATTTAACATTAAAAAATATTTCCACATAATCTATATCATAGTCCAATGTTTTCAGTTGACCCTACGATGCCCTCGGCAGCTTTTTCCACTCATCAGCAAAGGGGCCAGAGGAGGGCCCGTATTGCATTTGATAGCCATGTCTCTTTAGCTTTCTTTAGTCTGGAAAATCTCCACAGCCTTTGTCTTCTTGGCACTGATATTTTAGAAGCTTCCATTCTCACCCCTCCCCCCCCTTTTTTTTTTCATAGAACATTCCTCATTTGGGGGTTTGCATAATATCCTAGTGATTAAATTCTGGTTATCCATTTCCCATCAGAAAACTACATAACTGATTTTGTGTCCCTCCCAGGGCTTCACATTTGGAGCCACAGGATGTCTATTTGAGAAAGGCTGATGTACTTTTGACATAATGTGAAAAGATTTACAACTAGATTTTGGTTTATGATTGTTATAATTCTAAATAAATTATTTGCCACTTAACTACCGACCAATCAATGCTTTTAAATTTTGCTAAAATATTGCTTTAAGAATAGCTATTGAAAATTTCTAGGCATTTTATTAAAGGTTTGCACCTTCCTTTTTAAAAAGCTGACATATGAAATATTCCTATGGATTCTAATTCCAACCAAACTGTCAGCCATCTTTCTCCATGTTAATTCTTTTGGAAAGCACCCGCTAAAATCTATGTATTACCATAATCATGATAATAAAAGAAATACAATATCACTTTAATTATGTTCCAGTTGCCTAAAACATTCTTCATCGACAGAGCCAGAGTTATTGAAGAGAACAGAGGCTTTTCCCTCCCTTTAATTTATAATGAAAAGATGGCAGAGGCCGGGGTAGAGAATTAAATTCGTTTTTATCTTACAAGTCAAAGTCATCACTTTATTTCTTGGCTCTTAGTCCCTGAGATCTTTGTAAAAATCTTTCCTGACATCTTTCCCCTGTTCCAGATTCCTGCCAAGACAATGGTTCAGAATCCTGTGGTGTGTGAGAAAGAATTCTTCATGTATTATTTTTCTTTTGCTGTGTAGCAAATTACCACAAATGTAACAAAAGAAAACTAATACACCAGGGTCTCTCAGAAAATTAGCAGTAGGGTAAAGAAGAGGCTAGGACCCCAGGAAGGCAAGGAGAAATTTCCTGATAGAGCAAGAATTCTCTTCATGACTTTTACTCATTTTCAAATTGGATTGTTTGTTTTCCCTTTTACTATTGAATTTTAAGAGTTCTTAATACATTCTACATATGAGTCCTTTGTCAAATATGTGATCTGCAAAAATTTTCTCCAAGCCTCTTAGCTTGTCTTTCCATTCTCTTCACAAAGTCCTT